TGCCGGGAGGCCCCGGGGGCTCGCGCGCCGCGGCGTTGGGGAGGCGGTAGCAGCCACCCTCCTCCCGCGGGCTGCTTCTTACGACTTTTCTTTTGTTGTTGCCGTGACCCGAGTCTGTTTTCTCGTCTGCTGTTTGAGGTGTTTTCCTGCTGCACCGGCTCTCCGCCCTCCACCTCCTTCCCTGTGGTTTAACCTTCCTCTTTCCCCGTGTGTTTTATGCACGGTGAAATAGGTGGAGATTTGCATTTCTTCTCCCCCCCCGCCCCACTCCGCACCCTCGCCCCCACCCCTTGGAAAAAATAACCCAACCTCGCAAACCCTCTCTGGACCCCGCGGTAGCAAGACTGTGAAGGGGTTGATTTGTGAGGTGGGAGTCGCTGGCCCATTGCGGTGCTTGGGACTCATTAAACTGTCACTCACCCCCCACCCCACTGGGTAAATGGGGTGATTAATGTCTGATATATTGGAATGGGGCGAGGGCATTTGTGGAGAATAGGTTGTGTGGCTGAGAAGGAATGTAGCTCCGGAGAGTGCCTCCTAGAATAGGCGTTCGTCATTATGTCATTCACCGCGAAGTTAGAGAAAGTTAGGTTTGTGACTTTGGCAAAGCGACGAGGACAGGACAGAGACGTTGGTTTTTGTTACTCTTTAACTCTGCCGCGGTTTCCTGATGAGGACGGAGTGGTGCTCACCAGGGCTGCGACACTCGTGCCTCAGGCCTTTTGTGCGCCTCACCCTCCCCAGAGTCTGTGGAGATGTATTTGACATTCACAGATGTCGCAGCACCTTGCAGGGCACCGGTCAGCCCAGCCCAGGTTCCTGGACGATTTCATCAGCCATTAGGAAAGACCCACAAAGTCGAGCTAAAAAGTTCTCAAACTTGCTAGACATGCCCCCCCCCCTTACTGAAAGCTGAAAGGTTTTCCTGTGATCGTGAAACATTACAGAGTGACCCAAAAAAAGATTGTTATGGGACACAGATCGAGGGGAAGACAGAGTTCTGCTTTTTCTGAGCGGAGAGTCCGATCAGATACGCAGGTGCAGCGTTCATTGTAAGTGGCTGTAGCAGGTTGTTTCAGTTTATTAATTCGTCTCGTTGAACTGAAGTACTTTCCAGGATTTCAGAAAGTGCAGTTTCACCTTGTTGATGCTGAGAGTTGGAATTTGCATTAACTGGCAATGTGAGAAATTTTATTGAGAAGGTAGTAGGAAATGAGCAGTTAAAACGAGCGAAATCATAAGGTGAATCGGGCTGGAGTAATAGTTCTGCTTCCTCTTCCAGCATTTGGAGACACGTATGCCATTATCTCGGCAGGGAAAAAAAAAAAAAGTACCATGAGAATATTGAAATGGGCCTGGAGATGTCAATTGGGTTGGTTTAAAAATATCCCTAAGCTGCCTTTGAAACTGAACGCTGGAGTTGAATAAAAGTGAATGTGGATTTCCTGAATAGCGCCGTGGCTTGAGTGTGCTGTCAGTGTGTAAGCCAGTCCACCAACTTGAGACAGAAGTGTTGCTATTCCATAAATACAGTAGAACTCCATATGCTGAGTTTTTCCATTTCTTTCTGTTAGAAAGTTTGGAAAAAAAGGGAGACTTTGAAGTATTTTGTTTATACTAACAGAAGAGAAAAGTTCTCCTAAGAAAGAGCTGGTGGCAGGAGTGTAGAGGAGTAGCATATGGCATTAAAGGGAGCACAGCTGGAGGTAGCATTTCCATCTGAACATGATGTCAGAGCAGCTGACAGCCTGCCATCCCTCAGCCTTTTATTCTAACACACAGACAGGGAGTTAGTGTGTGCGGATCTGTGCTGGAGAAGGTATCTTATTCCTCTCTAACATCATCTCCACTTTGCATCTGTCTCTCTTAGTCTGCTTTTTTTCCACCGATGTAACAGACCTGGAGCCAGCGAGACTCAGAGGAAAGGACTTAATCAGGTTTATGTGTCCTAAAGGTAGGAGTAGCAGGAGATTAGATTGAGCCTATTTCTGTTGTGGTGTTTTGTTTATTTAATTAAAAAAAATCACATTACTTTTCTAACCCAGTTTAGGAATAATATATGAAACTGAGTATGAAATGAACATCTTATTGGAGTTGAAAGTCTTGGGCTTGTTTAGTTTTAATTTTTATCCCTTTTGCTCAGGCAAGTAAATAACTTCAATACACAGAAATATTTCAAGTTTTGAAATGTTAAGAAAGGCTTTGAAATGTTGCTTTTTGAGATCACTTTGGATTAAAATGCTTCTTGTGGTTGTTCACTGCTATTTAGATTCCTTTTGCTTTTGGGGTGGAGGGGGGAGAGAAATAGTAAACTGTCTGGAATCCAGCATTCAAACTTATATGAGAAGATTATTCTGGTTAAGAAGCTAGATTGTTGTGTAATTAATTCCACTGTGAAACTTTATTCTTCAAAACATTCAGCAGCACTCCTGAAACATACAGCTGTAGTGCTTTTGAAACCGAAGGTTTTTTAAAATGGGGGAAAAAAAAAACTTTTGTCCCCAGGAGAATAGTTTGACTGGTTTCCTCATTTCTCTTTCAAATATATATTTAAGAGAGCTTTTATTTCAGCATAACAATAATTATTTGCAGGAGTTTTTGTGTTAGCGACTAATTTAGAACTTGTAGATTTGAGCTGCCTGAATTGGCCAGACAGCTGTAATCGCACTCCTCTGTTCTTAATCTCTTTATCTGGGCAGCAGCTGCCATATGGCCACAGTCAGCTGGATCAGATGTTTATAAGCTTCCTTCTCTGTCCCTCTCTGTCCTCTCAGCCTCCTAATTTGATCACGGCTACCTTGTGAGCTGCCCTCCAATCTTTATTTTTAGCCCTCTCAAGGATTAGGATTGATGTTAGCTGTGGGGCACTTAAAGTGATTGTATTGTAAATCTTGGTTTATTCTAGCGGTGGCATCGTGCGGAAGGTATTTGGGGGCTAGGATGAAAGTTTTAGTCCATCTTGGGCAAAGTGGGGAAAAAGCAGGGAGGTAATTTCTGGAATATTAAGTTGCTATGTATCCGTTCCCCAGTGCACTCTCTGAGCTGCTTGGTGTGGAACCTTGCTTCTGGTCACAGGAAAGGGGAAGTCGGGTTTTCTTGATTTTTTTTTTTTTTTTAAGGAGTTGAGTTTTGCAGTTGAATTTTGACCCTTTGTACATCTTCGCCTTTCCTCTCGGTCAGTCTCACCCTCCTTCACCAGAAAACAAGGGCAGCGATGCATATTTGAAAGAATAGAAGCTAGTGGGAAAACAAAATATATCAAGTTTTACTGAAACAAAGTATTTTCTGTTGCATGAGGTAAGGCAGAGTCAGAAAAAAAAATAGTTTCTCTTTTTCTAGTAAGGCTTTTGGGGCGGGGGGCGGATGTTGAACCTGTAAAGCTTTTGAATACGATACGCCTTCGTTTAAAAGTTTGAAATAATTTTGGTATGGAATTCATTTGCTTTTCAACGGATCAAAGTTTAGATGAGAATTTTCAGAGTTAAGTGAAGCCCTTCTGGTTCCTGATATTCTGGATGTACAGATTTTACAAAGAAATATTACTATTTTTTTTCTCAATTCATTTAAAAAATATTTGGATTTGTTCATAGTAAAGATGATCTTTTCCATCTGTTGGTGTAGTTCTTTCTGATCTCGTACATGTGTGCCATACCTGCAAATCCTAAGGCATTAACATCTGTTTTTATACACAGGGCTTTTGTTGTTGTAACACTCTGACTTTAAAAGTGAGTTGTTTGCTAATTTCTGGGCTAATTATGCGATTTCATTTTTTCCCCCCTCGATTCAGCCCGTGTGTGTGTGTGTGTGTGTGTGTGTGTGTATTAAAATTGTGCTTTCTAAGTGCAGTCATGTATCAAAAGTAATAAAATAAAAAGGACGGTTGAACAAGTTTTCTGAATCTTCCAGAATGTATTTGGGACTTTCCTTTGTTCATTCTATGAGCTGTTCCCTTTGAAATTAAAGCTGTTTTGTAGGTTTTGTAGGACATAATTTGATGAGTAGGTTCACTTCTTCTGAAAGAGAGCTAAATTCTTCTTCTCAGGAAGGGACCGCATGAAGTGAAGGCTTTTGAAACTTCACTGAAAGTTCCAGAAAGGTGGAGATGCATCAGGGACCGTTTGGCTGGGGGCAAGGAAGTTTGGAGAGTGCACTTTTTTTTTCTTGTCGCATTTAGGTTTTGTGCGAGTGATCTGGTAGTCCCTGGGTCATATGCCTGATTAAAATGCAGGGACGGGTACCTCGGCGACCCGAGCCGAATCACTGTCACTATCGTTTTGTGTGTGTGTGTGTGTGTGTGTGCGCGGGGACTGGAGGACTAGAGCTCTGGAAAAGTTCTTCCTGAGTGGGCTCTCACGAGGTGTCTCTCTCCGCAGGTTATGAAGACAGTATGGAGTTTCCAGACCACAGTAGGCATCTGCTGCAGTGTCTGAGCGAGCAGAGGCATCAGGGCTTCCTTTGTGACTGCACTGTGCTGGTGGGAGATGCCCAGTTCCGCGCGCACCGAGCTGTACTGGCTTCGTGCAGCATGTATTTCCACCTCTTTTACAAGGACCAGCTGGACAAAAGAGACATTGTTCATCTGAACAGCGACATTGTTACAGCCCCAGCTTTCGCTCTCCTGCTTGAATTCATGTATGAAGGGAAACTCCAGTTCAAAGACTTGCCCATTGAGGACGTGCTAGCAGCTGCCAGTTATCTCCACATGTATGACATTGTCAAAGTCTGCAAAAAGAAGCTGAAAGAGAAAGCCACCACAGAGGCAGACAGCACCAAGAAGGAGGAAGACGCCTCGAGCTGCTCGGACAAAGTCGAGAGCCTCTCCGACGGCAGCAGCCGCATGGCAGGCGATCTGCCCAGTGACGAAGACGAGGGCGAAGACGAGAAACTGAACCTCCTGCCCAGCAAAAGGGACCTGGCGGCCGAGCCTGGGAACATGTGGATGCGCCTGCCCTCCGACTCCGCGGGCCTCCCCCCGGCTGGCGGGGAGGCCGAGCCACACGCCACAGCAGCTGGAAAAACAGTAGCCAGCCCCTGCAGCTCGACAGAGTCTTTGTCCCAGAGGTCTGTCACCTCCGTGAGGGATTCGGCAGATGTTGACTGTGTGCTGGACCTGTCTGTCAAGTCCAGCCTTTCGGGAGTTGAAAATCTGAACAGCTCTTATTTCTCTTCACAGGACGTGCTGAGAAGCAACCTGGTGCAGGTGAAGGTGGAGAAAGAGGCTTCCTGTGAGGAGAGCGATGTTGGCACTAATGACTATGACATGGAACATAGCGCTGTGAAAGAGAGTGTGAGCACTAACGCCAGGGTACAGTACGAGCCGGCGCACCTGGCTCCGCTGCGGGAGGACTCGGTATTGCGGGAGCTCGAGCGCGAGGACAAAGCCAGCGACGACGAGATGATGACCCCGGACGCCGAGCGCGGCCCGGTGGAGGGCGGCATGGAGAGCAGCCTGCTGCCCTATGTGTCCAACATCCTGAGCCCGGCCGGCCAGATCTTCATGTGCCCGCTGTGCAACAAGGTCTTCCCCAGCCCGCACATCCTGCAGATCCACCTGAGCACGCACTTCCGCGAGCAGGACGGGCTGCGCAGCAAGCCGGCCGCCGACGTCAACGTGCCCACCTGCTCGCTGTGCGGCAAGACTTTCTCGTGCATGTACACGCTCAAGCGTCACGAGAGGACCCACTCGGGCGAGAAGCCCTACACGTGCACGCAGTGCGGCAAGAGCTTCCAGTACTCGCACAACCTGAGCCGCCACGCCGTGGTGCACACGCGCGAGAAGCCGCACGCCTGCAAGTGGTGCGAGCGCAGGTTCACGCAGTCGGGGGACCTGTACAGACACATCCGCAAGTTCCACTGTGAGTTGGTGAACTCCTTGTCTGTCAAAAGCGAAGCCCTGAGCTTGCCCACTGTCAGAGACTGGACCTTAGAAGATAGCTCGCAAGAACTCTGGAAATAATTTTATAGATATATATATATATAAATAATATATATATATACATAGATATACATAGATCTCTATCTAGTTGTGGTACGGTCTAAAAGCAGCCTTGTTTCCTGGAACTAAACCGTCGGGGTGTTAACTCGGTTTTGCACTTTAGAGTAGCATGAGACTCTCACTAATTTAGCATTCTGGTAAAAGAGACTTTGGAGCAAGTCGGAGACTAGAGAGGGCTTTTTCTTTCGAGGGGGTAGGGGAAGTAAGCCAATAAGAACCTTTGAAACAACTCGTCCTATCACAAGATGCTTTCACAGGGCTTAATTCTGTCGACACTGCATTGTCTTCTGAGCGCTCTCTCTCTCTCTCTCTATCTCTCTCTCTCTCTCTCTCCCACTTTGTTTTGGTTTTGTGTTTCTGTTTTGTTTTTTGTTTTGTTTTTTTGTTTTTGTTTCTTTTCCTTTTTCAGAGTAGAAATTCCCTCCAGTTTTATTAGCCTCTTTATATGTCACAAAATTGCATGAATCTTTTCTGGCTGTTGGAAACCTGAATGCTTTTAGACCCAAATGGAAAATTTCTGAAATGCTGGATTATCTATTTTTAAACAAGCAGTTGACTTAAAACTTTCTGTGGCAACTTCTGGTTTTCTGACGGTTCCCAATGAGAGAAATTCTGAAAGTACACTGGGATCACTGGGACGCTGTCTTTGTGAAGGTTTGCTTGGGATGAAAAAGGATATTGCAGCTTCAGCAGTGTTGAACTGTGTGTTGAAAAATGTGAATTACTGTTCTTGTATACTGTAACTGATTACACGGGCTGGGGGGGGTGTCAAAGAACTTGACAGGTTGTGTTGATGCTCTTAGTTGAGTCTTGAAAAGTAAATATTAACGCTACAGAAATGCATGAGTTTCAATATATTTTTTGTCTTTGTTTGCATTGTATAACTTTAACGAGTGAGTTTAAAATTATTTAATTTCCTTAGAAAAAAAATAGCACCGTTTGGGGAAAAAACTGGTGTTATGAAGAACGTAAATGCACTGTTTTTATTTTTATTTTATATAATTTAAATTGACTCTCCCACTGTCTTTAAGTTGAAACTGTTAAGCTGAATAAAAACTTAAGCTGCAAATTGATAACTTTGCTACATAACAAGGAAAATATAAATGTTTACAAACGGCTTAAAGATTTGCATGTGTGCAGTGTGCATTTATAACAAACTTCTAATTGCACAAAACCCATGCAGGCTCAAAAGTTTAGGTGTACACATTTGCCCAGTTGAGCATTTTTAGAATAACTACTGCACAAATTGACAATAGGTCATTCTCTCTCTTCTTTCTTTCTTTCTTTCTTTTTTTTGGGGGGGGGCTCCCCTTCTCTTTTTCTTCCCTTCTCCCTTACCCTCCCCTCGCTCCCTCCCTCCCTCCCCTCCTTCATCCTTCCCCCACTCCCCCCACCCCCAACTCATGAAAAGATTCTATAGACTGAAAAAGCCCCGGGCTGAAAGGACTGGACTGCCTTGATTGACGTGGGGAAGGTGGGGAAGGGGGTTAGTAGACTATGTGTATGGGGCAGAGGAGGCTGCAGCCCAGTGTGGTTTTAATGACCAGCACGCAGGGCAAAAGCATTTTGCACAGTGTTTGTTTTCCTGTCTTGCACTTACAAATAAGGTCTATGGGAGTAGCATGGAAAACGTTTGCTGTTTTTCCCTTTTTTTTTTTAATTGCTTTTGTTTAAAATTTGATCGCCTTAACTACTGTAAACATAGCCTATTTTTGTGCTTAAGATACTGAATGGAAAACTCCATTGTGTGTTGCTGGACTGTTTTGGAAATATTTGGTCAAATGTGTGTTAATTTGGCTGTAATGGCATTTAAAGCAAACAAACAAACAAAAAAAAGCTGTGAAAATGGCCTTGGAGCATTATCTTTAGTTACTTGAAGAGTTTCTAGTTTTTTTAAATACAGTTTATGTTAAAATAATTTTTATTAATTTAGAGGAGACAATCAATGTCTGAGAAAACGGACTTTCTTTTGGATTTTCTTTTTGTGGTCATTGTGAGTGATTGCTTTTTCCTTTTATTAGTTTCACATTCTTCCTTTGTTCTAAAACTTAGACTGACATCTAGCTTTGACAATCATAGTATGTTTTATTTTCCTGAGGGGGGAATAACTTATAATGCTGTTTAGTTTTGTACTATTGGTGTGTTGGTGAATTTTTAAACTGTGTGCTAACTGCAATAAATTATATGAACTGAGAACCTTGTGCGCGTTATTTTAATTATGATTACGTACTGCATAGATCCTAAGTATGTATTGTATGTGGCATCTTTATTTTTAATATCAGTTCTATCCGGAGCTTGTGAGATTATTAGGATGCCTCAACTCACTCAAATGGAAATGTGCAAACATTTTGGCTTTCAGTCCTTTGAGGTACTAATGCACATTTCTAAAATGTGACCCATTTTCTACAACCTAGATCAAGAATGTTAAGGTAATTCCCTAGCAATCCGTGAATCTACAGAACTTCCAAGTGGCAGCCTGGGTTCTTCCTAATAACGCTGTATGACTAGCTACTCCTCCATACACCCCAAGCCATTTTCATGGGTAATTTTATCCTAAGTTGATGGGTCAGATCTATTCTTCTGTGTTCTGGTGTAAGTGGAAGATTGAAGGAGACCGGATGTCTTAATTTGGAAGATTGCTTGGCTAATGACTGGAATTCTAGGCAATCAAATTAGCAGGCATTTGATTGTTCAAGATTGGCTATACGCATCCTTTTTGTTGCTGGGAGAGCTCAGAAGTTCTCAACTTTTAATTCTCAAAGTTTGACTTGTAATCACGACTCTGAACCCTAATTTTCGCGATCGTCCGACTTCACGATGGTCTCCTTGGGTGTGTCAGGATGAGAAAACACTGCTGGTTGATGGAAGGAATTCACAGGAAGAACACACATATGCGCTGGACAGGACAGCCTGCAGGGTCCAGGGCGGGCACAGACCTGAGAGAGTGTCTGTAGATCCTCAGATCGGTATTTGCCCATAACCTCCAGCCTTAAAAGATATATACGAAGATACAGTTTTACATTATTACCGTCAAATAAAACACATTTATATTACATGGCCTAGGGCAATGTGAATATTAACTTCTATAGAAGAAGTGGGATGTAAGGTCCAGAGCTTGAAAATATACTCATAAGCTCCCGGGTGGCTTTGGATGGGAATCCAAAAAGATTTTTTTTCTTTAATCATAGAGCACAATCAATAATTTGCTATTTGGAATCCCTACGTTTCCTTTTTTTTTTCTTTTCTTGTTGTTGAAGCAGGATTTCTCTCTCATGCAACTCACACTTGGTTTTAACCAACCAAACATTGTTTCATGTGAAAGGGGAATGTACATATGAGCTCCACAAAATTATTTCTTCAGTTACAAGCTTATTTTTAAAAAGGGTTGGAGGTAGGGCGGAGGTTGGGGAGTGTGGGTCTTGTGTTCCCAGTTCCTGTAGTAACTGGTCATAGTATCTCAAAACTTTCTGAAGATGTTGAGAGTTATAATTTAGTTTCACTGACTAGCATCTAGTTTAAAATGAGCATTATCCTAAACTTAGCTGGATATACTTATAAGGACAATATTTTGACATGTGATTTGGAAGAAATAACTTCTTAAAACACTCCTTGCAAAACTAGAACAGAATATTAAGTCCATAAATTGCCACGTTTGTTAAGTGAAGGAGGCACTTGTTCATTTGCTACATTTCAAAAAAAAAAAGAAATTAATTTGTCATGTAATCATGTTGGAAACCATTCAAATTGATTCCCCCTTTGACATCTGGCTGATGTCTAAGTGTATTTTAACTATGTGATTTCATTTACTTCTGAAACCATCTGTTTTTTTAGATAATCAGTTATGCCCTAGATCATTGTGGGCCCAGCACTGTGTGCTAGTCATTCCCTGGGGCATAAGCAAGAAGTATATAAAATCCTTAAGGATCTTGGTTTTGGATTTCCTTTCCAGTTAACTATGCTATCAGATTAATAGGTGAATCAAGTAGAGATTTTTCTTTAACAGACTTGTCATGATTACCTATAAATGAGTTATTGGAAGCCTAGAAAAAGGTGAGCACTGTATTAAAATTACACACTAGTGCACATTACAATGGCTGAAATACTAATTTTCCAAGTAAATCTCTTGCTTTGCACTCTTCATCAAAGAAAAACAGTTGAGTTTTTTACCCAAGAAGTAACGTTTCTTAAAAAACCTTGACTCTCACAAGTTTCATCAATGAAACACAAGTATACAAAAATTAGACTTTACAAGCCTCATTGTGTCAGGTAAGGATTAAAAAAAAAAAAAGTCCTAAGATCTCAACATTTCCTGTATTGCATTTTATTCCTGTAAAACTTCATATAATCAGGGAAACTTTTATATACCTCTGGTTAGGAAACTCAGATAATTTTAGATGTAATTTGTAGATACTGATCTAAGTTTTTGTTTAATTCTTTGGTACAATGTTTGAAATTGCTGATAAAGTACAGTGAATCGAGTAAGTGAATTTTGAAATCCAAGACAGGAGAGCTCAGTCGTTTTCATTACACTCATTTGCCATTAAAATGTTAGTGATGATACCATTTGAGAACTAAAGCAATAGTTTTATTATTGTATTTTTAAAGCAAATAGCTTTTAGGAGTTTCATTTTGGCTATGGTCCAAGTTTATTAAATTGACAAGATTTTGTCCCTTATGTTAACATTTTTCTACCTTTTGCCTGCAGAAACATGGCAAAATATCTTTGTATGTGATCCTTTGCTCTACAGTGTAGAACTACCTATTTGTTAGATGAGAAAAAAACATGTTTGCAGCCTCCCCACTCCTTCTTAGGTTTTCTTAATATCGTGAAGAGTTAGCTAAAGCAGTCAGAGCTTATTGATGTCACTGGAGGTTTTTAGAAATAGTAATTTATTTTCAGAGACATTTTAGAAATTAGACTTTTAGTATTTTTGCAAGCTGATCCTTTTAAAACTTACTACTAATTTTTGTAATTTCTGGGAAGCGAAGCTGAACTCTTTAAGTTTAAAACATTGTAACGAGAAAGGGTGAGGTCAGAGAAATGAAACAGTAGCTTGAAAAGTTTCTCTTTTAAGCCCAGATGCCTTATTACACGAAATTGTTCAATTAATTATCTAGATAACTCAGGCTCCCAGAGTAGCTTTTTCCTAAAAATATTCAAGCACTTGAAAGAAATGGGATTTTTTTTTTTGAAAGAGATGAATTTACCAGTTAACTTTTCTGATTCTATTGTAACATTTGCTAGTTTAGTGTTGATCGCAATCGCTAGGTTTATATGAGCCTGGCACTTCCCTTGGCTGCAGGATACTTTACAAAACAATTTTTGAAGACTGAAATTTTTCTTGCCTTTTCAGGCACTTTCCCCCTCTTTCTGATCTTGAGTGGCTTTGCATTGGAGTTTGCAGTTTGCTATAGGAAGCATTCTCTCTAGTTCGTTTGGCAAGAGAAGAGTGAAAACCCAATTTGGCTTTAAAATGTAGCACATTAGTGAGTAACAGTTTCAGCGAGGATATTTAGAGTGGCTTTGAGAGGCCGTGTGACACCCATAGAGAGTCCATTCACGGAAATGACTTATTTACGATTTGTCATAATCTCTAATTAATCATTAAATCAAGTCATTTTTATTAAATGTCAGTCTGCATGCTTAATATTAGCTATATAGGAATTTTAAGAAGTCATATTGGCCTAAATATTGAAGTTTGTAAGAAGTATAGTTGTAGTTAATATGAAGTGGTGCATGGAAAATGTATTCGAAAATTAGTAAACACTTATAGGGTAGATTAAATCTGTCATTTCCAAACATAATGCATATAGAACAGTACTGAACTTGAAAGAATGACATACCCTTATTTATGTGTGCTATGCCAGGCCAGTGCTAACTTTGATATGTGATAGGGCTTAAAAGAATGCATCTTAACCATATGTCATTAAAATATATATATTACTTAAAACATTTGTAAATAAGGGCATGTTTACTTCATTTAAAGAATCGTCCTCAACGCAATGTGTATTTTACCTTTGAGAGGATTAGTAAAGACACTAACATTTTTGTATGTCTAGTGCTCCGAAATGATCTTTGATCAAAGCAAAAACATGTAGGCTTTTCACGTGAGTCTCTTACATTTGTTTTTCAAAGCAGACGAAAATATACATGTATCTTTTCTGTGGACCATTTCTTTGGAAACGTACCACGTAGACAAGCTGGTTGCTAATATTGAGGTGACTATTTCATGTTTACTAGAGACACCACAATACTTCCTAAGGACGTCTATTTGGACAATTTTCAAAAAAGCACAATGGTATAATAATGGTTAATTAAAACATTTAAGGAAAGTATTTTTGCTTATGAACCATAGCCGTTAGTGCCATTTATTTGTCTATAGTGTAAAAAAAAAAATCCATTTTTTCTATCTTATAACCGTTTCTCGTTGTCACTTAAAGTCCTCATCGAATAGAAGAAATTTGAGCCCAGAACCATATCCCAGGAAGAGCAAATTTATAAAGGTTTTTCTATAACTAACTGCCTTTGAGAGAGAGAGAGAGCCTCTTGAGGATGGGCCAGGAGGGGAAAATGGTGCAGGTGTACATTAAAAGCCTAGACATTATACACAAGCCCTTGGTGTAGCATTTGTTTAAGACTTCAAAATCCCCAAGATTCTGCAACTGAATAAACCAAAAGAAACTGAAGCGGGGGGGCAGGTGGAATATCCCTTTAGGTTCTTATTTCTGTTGAGACTCAAACTAAAATTCATACTTCACACAGTCCGCTCTGTTTCCCTGCATGTCCTTTTATCAACCATCAGAGGGTATATTTGATGCAAGGGGTGATTTTGACACCACTGCACCAATGAATTTTCCAACCAAGTTGCTTTTGTGTCTGAATTTCTACCATTTTGAAATAATGGGAACAATTTTGAAATGAAAATGACATTTGAGATTGGCCTTCCTTGATAGTCTGCACCAGCATACTATACATCTCCAGGCGGGTGGGGTAGCGGAACACGTGGACTAAGGAGCCCCCCACTTCATACTTCCGGGGGCTTATCACAACAAATAACATCGAGCAGGGTGAAATCCTTAGGTGAAGAGGAAACAAAATTAGAGGGTATGTTGGGGCACAGGGAAGTTTTGTTTTTCATACTAAGTGTGGAGTCTAGAAAATGTGGTAATTTCTCACATTCTATTTATATGTTATT